ATATACTTCAGGCAACTAGGGGTACGGTTGCCAAATTTGGCAAATAAAAATACATGAGAAGTATTTTTTGGTTTAAACGTATCCCAAATATTGCATGGGACATACACTAAAAATTATTTGCTACATATCTGAAATTTAAATTAACTGGGTGTCCTGTATTTTATTTAGCACCCCACTGAGGGTAGAGGGGGTGGGTACCTCAGGGACACTGGGGTCGCATAATAGGTAGTGTTCGCTCCTACCGCAAGATGGGGCACTCCAGAAGTGACGATGGTTTTCAGGAGGTTTATCCTTTATTATTTGTCTCTGCAAAAATACACCCTTTACAAGTTCTCTCCATTTTTTCCTGTCAGATAATTGTCGTGTGCTTACGACATGCCTGGGATTGTCAGGAGATGGAGGCAAGGAGGTGACCGACACGCTGCCGGTGACCTCCTGCGGCTTCCACTCGGGTGGAGCCAGAATCACGCCCAGGGAGCAGAAGACCCTCTGCGGAAAGACAGGGGCGGGGGAGACAGCATGGGGCCTTGGGTGGGCGCTGTCTGGGTTATCCTCTAAGACACACAGAGAAAATGAGTGAGAGCCTGGGGAGTGTGAAAGAGCAGGAGGGGAGTGGAGAGGAGGAAGGAGGAGAGGAAGAGCAGGAGGAAGGGCTGGTGGCCGACCTGTGCCACGAGAAGCAGCTGGGGCCACCGTGTGTAGAAAACAAAGGGCCTTCAGGCCAAGCCTGCAGCACACAACGAGCATCCTGTGACCGCCCACCATGTGCTTCAGGAAGGTCAGTAGTAACCACTGTTGACAAACTGTGTTAAGAAGGTAAATCTGTGACCTGGACAAAAAAGTCCCCCTTTTCCTACCAGCATTTTCCATTCCCATTTTGGGTGGGAGGAATGCGCGAGTGCTGGCTAGACCCACACTGCACTGTCAGGGCAACGAGGGGGTCCTTGTCTCTGCCTGGGAATGTGTCAGAAACAAAGTGCCGCGGCTCTTGAATCCCTTCCCCTGTTCAAAAGGACAAGGACAAATACCTGATCGTAGGCTGGCGTCAGGACAGCACTGACCAGCCCCACGAAGCTTGCCATCAGTTACCAGTCAGAGCCAATGACACTGTGCGCCTTAGCTCACACCCAAGTCCTACGGAGGGACTCTACCATCTACAAGAATAAACAAACGAATTCTTGAGCGTTTAAAATATATTAAAGTGTCTATCAACCTATCTGAACAGAAAAATTTTTCGAAGTATTAAGAAAGAAAACACAGCTCACTTTAACCTGCACCAGAGTGCTTGCTTGCAGCCACCCAGCAGTGTAGACGTGCAAATTAGGTCTTGCAGTCCCACTGCCCGGCCTCCCTGCCTGCAGCTTTCATTTGATCAAGCTCCCCCTGAAGGATTATAATGGGTGAAATCGATGCCTTTTCCATACAAGATAACCCAGACCTCTCAGCTTCGAACGTATCCCTAACGAGCAGGAGACCCTCTCCAATGGCACAGCTTTTACACCCACAATTCAGAATTGGATGCCATGTTTTGGGCACCACAACCACACGAACCTATAAAAGATAGAATTATCACGCCTGTAATCCTAGCACTCTGGGAGGCCGAGGAAGGATGATCACTAGAGCTCAGGAGTTCAAGACCAGCCTGGGCAATATCGAGATCCCCTCTCTACAAAAAAAGAAGCCAGGCATGGTGGCACGTTCCTGTAGTCCCAGCTACTGGGGAGGCTGAGGCAGGAGGACTGCTTGAGCTCAAGAGTTTGAGGTTGCAGTGAGCTATGATCACGCCACTGCACTCCAGCCTGGGTGACAGAGCAAGACCCTGTCTTTAAAAAAAAAAAAATTAGAACCACATAAGCCCAGGTCTGAAGGGGCTTACATGCCATCAGCCCATGTGTTCAGATCCCTGTAACATCCCTGAAAGTGGCCTTTATCCAGGTGGCCTCTCCCCAGGCAGGGCCACTCTCCGTTTTGTTTTTGGACAGTGCCAAAGGCTGGGAAGCCCAAATCTATGCCCTCTGGTCTCAAAGGATAAATCCAATCTCTCAATTACACGACACTTATTTTAAGCCAGTGGCCTGAAAAATCCCTCCAATGTTCTCTAGGGTGAGCACGTTAATCTACATTTGATATATACAGTCCCAAAATATCTAGGTTATTCTCCTGTGTCCCTCAATGTATGGAAACTGGAACTGATTTAATTTCAGATATGGTCTGCTTTGTGCGGGACAGAGTAATATCGTCAAGGCTTGTCACCCATCTGGCTTAAACCATTCTTCTGCTACGTAAGTCCAAGCTTCCCTTCGTCTCTGACAGCCATGCCACTCTGTGCTGACACTAAAGCCTCTCCCCCTTCCTCATCGGTCACTACTAAATGGCATCTAATCACACGCTGAGAACACTGAGGTTTTTGGGACTCAGACACAGAACTCATGCAACATTTTAGTTCTCTTTCCCACCTTCAAGTCACTTACAGGTTTAATTAACATGCCCGACACCCATGTCCTCATTCAAATCAGTAATCAATAAGATGAAGGGGGCTGAGGTCAGAACTCTCTGTCCCATTTCGGCCCCTTTAAATGCACCTGTGACAACCTGCACACATGCCCTAGGGATGAGAGGTGATGCTGCCTCATCTCTGAAGCCCACTCAACTGCCTTCCCCTGCAGACCTATAGCTGTTGTCCTCAGCTGTCCCCACGTCCCTTGCTCCCTCTCATTTTCTCTCAGTGCTCCTCTTCTCATCCAGATGGGCTTGTTTCCCTCCCTCTGACCGAGGTTGTGGCTTCTGATTTCTGCTACGCAGCTCTACAGCCACGGCCAGGTGAAGGGCGTTCTCCCCATGCTCCACCATGGGCCTGGGGGCCTGCGGTCCAGGTGTGCAGTCCTGGGTGTGACATGAGCCCATGACCTGGGAGTAGTTTGAGTAGGGTGGGAGGTGCCGTTGGTCAGGCTACACTGCCACCCCAGTCCTATGTCTCCAGCCTTTCTCAAACGCTTTACTGACATCCTGACAGGTGGCATCTACAGCCCTTTCCTCATTCACCGATGAAAGGACCCTCTTTCAAAGCTGCAATCATTTTTCTGGCAGGAATTGTTCTTAGTGAATCTCTGCCAGTTCCGTTGGGGCAGAGAATCCCTTTTTAACAGCTGACAAATCTTTTAATTAATTCTTTTCAGCATCGTGCTGGGAATGATGGCAAGTTTGTTGGCCTGTAACTCTAGGAAATTATCTCTTTCTTTGCTTGAAAAGTGAAAACATGTGCCCACTTCCAAGCATCAGAATCCTCTCCTGCTTGCTGCAGTTTCTGGTCTGCAGCAAGTCTGAGGCCACCTGGAAGTTCTTCCTGTTCCCAGGGAAGCCATTTCTCAAGGCCAGAGCAACTCTGAGACCAACCAGGGCCCTTGCACAACTTTCCCACCTATCTTAGACTTTAACTCCCCACAGAGTGGAGTTTGGGCTTTATTACTTACTAACACAATGCCACCAGGTGGCACTTTTTTTTTTTTAACGTCTCATCTCAACCAAGCTTTAGCCTGCTGATTCACATTTACGTTTTGTACCACTCTTTCACATTCGTCTTGAATTTCGAGTCTTCCTCTGCTGTGCCTGTCCTTTCAGATTTGGCCAGTGTGTTGGCACAAGGGCCTCGTTTCAAGATTATTAGCAAGATTATACTGATATTAGCAATACCCATATTAGCAAGATTATACTGATGAGTTATCATCCCTCTCAGCTCCTGCTACAGTTTCAATGCCTGCCTCTCTGAAACTCATGTTGAAACTTAATCCCAGTGTGGCAGTATTGAGGGGGTGGGGCCTTTAAGAGGTGGTTGGGTCATGAGGACTCTGCCTTCATGACCGGATTAATCCATTCGTGGGTAAATGGATTAATGGGTTAGCATGGGAGTGGGACCGGTGGCTTTGTGAGAAGAAAACAAAGACCTGAACTAGCACACTCAGCCCTTTTGCCATGCGACGCCCTGCGCCACTCCAGGACTCTGCAGAGTCCCCATCAGCAAGAAGACCCTCGCCAGATGCAGCCCCTCATCTTGGACTTCTCAGCCTCTATAACTGTAAGAAATAAATTCTGTTTCTTTATAAATTACCCAGTTTCAAGTATTCTGTTATAAGCAGCAGTAAATGGACTAAGACTCTGACCATTGAATTTATCTTAGAGCCCTTTGAAATCTGTCTTCCAAAAAAACGGTATAATAAGAGCAGTACTTTGGGCACACGCGATCCATGCCATGTATTATGCACATCCATAGACATAATAATGATAACAACTACCTGTTACTTTACAGCCTATCTCTGCCACCAATTCCCATCAGCACCTAGACAGAGAGGCATTGTTATCCCGGCCAGAGAGACTCAGCCAGAGTAAGCCTGTGCCCAAGGCAACTATTGAATAAGTGGCAAACCAGGATGGAAGCCCAGCTCTGGTGACTCCTGAATGCATGATGCTTCCTCTGCTCCACTCGGTCTGGTACTTTTTAAAACATTTTTCTTTTGGTAGTGTTTAGTCTATATGGCAAATAGAATTCTTCTATATTTTTAGGAATAAAAAAAATGCCCAGATTTAGAATTTTACTTTTTCCATACTTACCTCTATCTCACATTGTTTTCTAAAGTATACATTATTTGTATGATTCATAATAAAAATAAATATGAATATTCTGAGACCCAATTTTATCCACACAATGGGACAAAGACTCTTCTTTAACAACATTTAGCAAAAGTTTAAGAAAAATTACAAAAGGGAAGTTTCATAAAATTGAAACTTTATGATTGGAATTCTATTATAAAAGTAGGTCTCTGTAGCCCAGGTTAGAGTACAGTGGCTGGATCACAGCTCACTGCAACCTTGAACTCCTGTGCTCAAGTGATCCTCCTGCCTCAGCCTCCCAGGTAACTGGACTATAGGTGCACACCACCACACCTCCCTAATTTTTTTTTCCATAGAGATGAGGGTCTTGCTATGTTGCACAGACTGGACTTGAACTTCTGGCCTCAAGCAATCCTCCCATCTCAGCCTCCCAAAGTACTGGGATTACAGGCATGAGCCACCAAACCCAGCCCACTTGCTTATTTTCTAAAGTGGCATCCAGTTGGGTGCATTGGGAGCGGGGTGTGGACAGGTCTGGGTACACTTGGGTCTCCATCGCCTACAACTACTGCCGGTCCAGGGAACTTCTGCTGCCTACTCCCCTCTGTGCTCCCAGTCTGAACAAAACCCCAGATAGATGTGGCTTTTGAGTCGACCAGCAGATGTGTCCAGGATTAGAGTCTAGCTCCTAAAGTGAGCAGTAACACTATGTTTACCACTCCCACCCTATTCAACTCCTACATGGGAGCAACTATGATTAATGTACATGGGCTTAGAGTGGACCTGGGCCCACGTGCCTTAGCCAATTCATTACCCTATTAATGTGAACACTTAGGGAGTTTTTTCTAATTATATTTGAACAAAATATATTGATCATACGTGCACAGTCCAAATCTCAAATGCACAAACTAGAAATATGGTTTTAAAGGAATATGGAAAAGTCTTAGGCATGCTAAGAGACCTGTCCACAGTTATATTGTCAGTTAAATGAGAGAGTCAGGACTAAAACCTAAACCCTTCTTTCTAAAAACTGAATTTAGTCTAAATGGTTTTTAGATAGACTGAGTTAATTTAAATAGCTTAATCCTAGTCAAGGCATGTCTCCATTTGGAAATCAGATGTTTATGGTATATAGTACACAAAGAGGAACAGTTTTGCCAATTGAACAGTTATGTAGATTTATATGTGTATTTCATATTTTAAAAAGTTATATAGATCAGTGGTTTGGCAGCTGGTTGAAATAATTCCGTATTTTAAAAATCTGCAGGGTGCATCTGTTAGCAGTTTTGAGTTTCTAACGCAGACTAACAATTTGGTGATAGCAAGCTGTCTTCCAATTAATGTTCCAGAAAGCATTTTATTTCAAGATTTTTAGAAGGGGAGCCAAGATTTTCTGGGATTCAGTTTTGTGAAGCATCATCATATTTTTTGCCTTTTATAAGTCTTCCACATCTAGGGTTAATAAGCAGTATGTCCTGAAAAATGCTGTCTGACTTTCTAAAAAAGCTTAACTGAGACTCTTTAATAGGTGACCTGCATTTAATCTTTCCCAGCCCAATAGATAAAGTCATAAAAAAAATTTAAAACCACATTTAGAATCACATTATATTTACATCATTCTCTTTCCCATAATTACCCAATTTCCCTCATCTTTTGCCCTTAGCAAATTTTGAATCAAAGAATTCAGAAATGTTCACCCTCTCCAAGAAGTCCCTTTAGTTTTCTTTAGTTTCCTCACCACTCACAGCTACTTTTCTGTAAAATCACGTCTCCTACAGTCTTCAAAAATCCTGAGACTACCTTCCTGACAAAGCTTTTCAAAAAAAAGTACAGCCGCCAGACAAGGAGCCCAGAGTCCCACACTCGTGCACACGTGTGGCATCCCATGTTCTCCTGCCCTCAGCCTCTCACTGGAGCAGGGCGAGGGCCTTTTCTCCATGTCTCTGGCACCCAACACAATGCCCGGCCACTCAATTATTTGCTGGGTGAACAGATACATGAACAAAGCCTAAAGCCCAAATGATGGCCAACATGTGCTCATTCTTTATAGTCTCAACATTTCCTTTTTCTACACTATATATCAAATAACGTAGAAAGTCTGAAAATCTATCACTAACGCATTTTTTCAGTTGAAAAGGAAAAAGAAATAGGTATATTTATACTATACCTCTTATAGTATAATACTCTGACACTTACATACTCTCTTATACTCTGACACTTTCTACCTCGTCTTATCGTTTGTGGTTTATAAATCACCCTGTCTATGAGACCATGAGCTTTATGGATAGGGGACTAAGGTCTTACTCAACCTTCTATCAACTGTAAAACCAGTGTAGTGTCACGAACAGGCACCCCACAGTTACTGGAGGAATGCCTAGACGGCTTGGAAAGATGTTCTTTACCTTCTGTGGGTGAGAAAGAAAGAAGAGGCAGATAGTTAGAGAGAACAGGTGCACGTGCAAAAGGCATTACTAGAATCGTCGCCAGGACAAGCAAGGAAATACGGCGGAAACGAGAGCACCGACAAGTGCACTCACCTCTCAGGAAGGAAACGCGGTTAGTCAAGTACCTTTCTTACGTGCTGGTCCAGGGAGGTCCCCACACAGGCCCCCACGTGACAGCACAGTAGCTTTAAAAGGACTGGACAGGGAGACAGTGCAAGTAACTGGTCATCTGGTGTCTGGGACAGTCAAGGGTCATATTTACAGCTCTCAGCTACTGCGTGAAGCCAAATAGAGGCAGTTAAAACCTGTATCGTTTTTGCCAGTTTTGCTAATGTTGAAAGTTGTTGTCTAACACCATCCATACCAGCACAGAATGGGCATTAGGTCAATTTTACTTTTTCCTGTATGTTTTTGTCACTTGAGTAGAACTAGCAAGACTACTGAAATGCTTGCAATATGTGATGGGTACTCCAGACCTATTTGCGGAATGAATGAATGGTTTCTCACCAAGTCCTTAACATTTAGAACATTCTAGGACTACTTCGGGTTGCCATGGTGGAAGCCTTCTTGCATTCTGCTGTCAAAGATGCTCTGCCCCTGTATATGGAGTATACAAAGCACAGGTTTAGTGCTGACATGCTGGCCACATTTCAAAACCTTGCTGAGAGGGGTCTCATCATAGACGGTGCTATTGATCAAACACCCACAGAGCGCACGCTAGAACTCTCTCCAGAACAACGTCTCCTTTCACCCTCCCATTTTTGCGAGACAGACATTAAGGCAGCCTCAAGTCTGAGAAACAGGTTCAGGTGTGATAATAGTGTAAGGCACAAGCCGGAGCCAGGATCTGATCCCCAATTTTCCAGTATACTTTTTTACTCTATCCCAGCTGCCTTTGAAAGTCCAGAACCTGCATGTGACAGCTGTAACGCCATTTCCTCACTTTTATTGTTAAGAAACTATCCGATTAAAATTACACACTACTGCCTTGCCCCAAACGAGAGACACCGTGGCTGAGATGCTGTTATCCGGAGGGCAGATGGAGTAAGGAGAATCCCACAGTTTACCACTTCCTGCCTCCCTCCCAGTGGCTCTTTCCCTCTAGAAGATTATAAAGGTGATGCTGCCACCACCACTACGCAAAGCCACAACCTGTGCCGCGGTCATTCTCCAGCCCTTGCCCTGGAGGATTTATTCTTTCGTGCATTCTCGTGCATTCTCGGTCCCCCAGTGCCCTCCCGCCACGCAGGTTCATTGTGGTCAGTCCTCGCACCACTGGTTCTCTCCCTCCGAGGCTGCACCAGGAACGGCTGAGCCACGTCTTCCTGCCAGTGGTCTTCTCTGCTGTTCCCTCCCGGCCCCACCTGCCACACCTGCCCTTGTTTAATCACACTATTATCGCCAGCTGTATGCCTTGCTCCCTGCTCCACCAGGCTCTCATTTCTGCATTCCACAAAAGACGTGCAATGCCATGAAAAAGAGAAAAAAAATTCCCACCCCAAACACAAACACACCCAATCCTATGGCGTTTTCCTTTACACAGTCGAGTGCTTTTTCTCGTAAAGGGAGGAGTATGTTTATTAAGTGCTCCCTTACACTTAAACAAACATATCTATGCCAAAGTTTTACTGTATATAAATATTCCACCTAATTGAGCACTTATGGTTATATGTGATGAATATTTTCAGTTAGGTATAATGAAGAGCGGCAATTTTAAAAAGAATTTCCTGGGGGACTAGAAGGAATGTTCAGGACTTTCCAAGAGAGGGTCTTTTATAAACCACTTGCTGCTGAGTGTTTTCACTGCAAAATGAATGCTGCTCAGTGCACTGGAGAGCTCTGATGGCCACTAACTGCCATCAGCTGAACAGAGATACCTGGACTTCGGAAACAAGTCAGAATATAACTACACGCACTGCCCATTTACATTCTTGCAGAACCGTCTAATCCAATATATATGAGATGCCTTCAGTTTGCTCCTCAGGTAGGTATGCAATACATACAAACACACTCCGAGGCTACATACAATGGAAAATGAATCATCCACCCAAATAATTGCAGTGTAGAGCTAGGTTAGACCTGGGGGTGGTGAGATGGGGGGAGGGGGAGATTGCTTCCAGAAAGGGTTACTGAGGATGAGCAGTAAAGGGAAAGTCCAAGCTTGCTATGGTGTATGTTGCAGCTCATCTTTCAAAGTAGAAACCAAGCCCTTTTCCTTTAATAGCTAATGCCGAATGTACATGTTCCCTATCATTCACTAATCTCTCCGAATATTCCATGGCATTTCCCTGTGGGCCCAGATCCCTCCTGTCCTTGGGCATCACAGTGATTCTCCCCCTCCTGTGGTCCCCTCACGTGGGGCCCTGTGGACCAGCAATAGTTGAGGGCTGCCGCAGGCACGCACCCCGACCAGGGGCCTGGGAGGGAGGGCAGAGCGGCTCAGAAGATGATCTTTAAAGAGATTGTTAAGTCTACAGCATATACAAGCCTTCAAAACAAACAAATAAAATAATAACAGCCATGAGTACTTAGTACACAGGAGGCACGGCTAGGACTTGACAAGTATTATCTCATGTGATCCCCATGGGGCCCTGTGGGGAAGGTACTGTGACCAGCATTCCTGTTTTACACCAGGGAGTTTAGGGTTAGACAATATAAGTAACTTCCCTGAGGTCTCAATGCAATTTGTTCCGTGGCAGACACTGGATTGGAATCGCATCAAGCTCAAAGGCTCATGCTTTCAACCTGACATAATACCACTGCCTGTTTTACAGGAAACAATCTTTGCACTTAATTTCAAGTAAAACAGACTTGCTACTGTTTTTACGCAGCAAAAATAAACTTTCTTAGCTACAATGGAAAAACTTCAAATGCTTTCAAATGAAAAAGACAATTAAGCAACACACATTCACAATGCTTTTTGGTGTTGAGAGGAAAAAGAATGGTACTTAATGTTCTAGCATACAACAAAAAGTCAAGGCCATAGCCACATCCCTCATATTCCTGGAAATAAAAAAGAGAACTTGGTCCCTTAAAACCAACCAGACCCCTCCCCCCCAAAAAAAAAGTCAGGCTTCAGAGTTAAATGTGAATTTCTGGTTGTGTTTAGATATAAAAACTAACTTGGAAATTAAACAGATGACTTGTCTACAATAAGCATTAAATCCCAGTTATCTACAACAGTGAGAAATGGGATATTTCACATATGATAATTTTTCAGAACTAACTACAATTGCACCTGCAACCTAAATCCAATTCAGTCTTCAGTGGCCTATTTGGACACACTAAGATACCAGATCTTGGCTGGTTCTTGTTCTTTCCTTGCTAAGAGTTTCTGTCTTATTTCACAATGTAAAGCCACTAGTTGTTACAGCTTGCTCCACCTCTGGTCTAGTCCCTGCACTAGGTGGTAGAATTTCTTGCTCTACCAGGAATACCTTGTCAGCCTCGTCTCTGTAATTATTGTGGACTAGAAAATCCAATGACCAAGATTCTTAGAGCAGTGTCTGAGAGATGGGCCTGAGTCATTGTCTAGTGCAGACAGTGCACTGGCTTTGCCACACGGGGTTCGAGAGACGCTGACCCTGTCCTCCGTGTGTCTGTAAACACGTGTGTACACCTGCCAGCTCTTGCCTACTCACACACGCCCCACCAACACCCAGATGGCCTGACACCCCTAACAAGACCCCAGACCTGGCTGCTTCACATTTGCCTTGATTGAGTACTCTGGCCATGACCTCCTGGCCTCCCCACCCCGCACCCCCCTCAAAAGACCCGTTTTTTTTTTAATCCTATTTACTGCTCCTAAACAGATTTTGTCACTGCTACTCTTGCTATAAGGGAGCCTCTGATATTCATTTCCAGGTTTTCACTGGCTGTGTTTAGGAATAATGGAAGGTCCTGGACAAGTAGCTTTATTTATTTATTTATTTAGAGACAGAGTCTGGCTCTGTTGCACCAGCTAGAGTGCAGTGGTGTCATCATAGGTCACTGCAACCTCAAACTCCTGGGCTCAATGCTCCTCTGGCCTTAGTCTCCAGATGCAGCTGGGACTACGATGCACACAACCACACCTGGCTAATTTTTTTTATATTTAGTAGAGACGACATCTCGCTCTTGCCTAGACTGGTCTCCTGGACAAATAACTTTGAGTCAGGTTTCCTTGTAAGTACCTTATTATTTGGATGGTTTTGGAACCAGATCATTTGTTTTGTTCTGAAGTGCTTATCACAAATGGGCTCGCTGATGGTCTCTCTGAAAGTACTGCCATGATACCTGCAGAGAAGGTAGCAGGTACTGCAATGCCTGAGTCAGTGAACCACAGCTGCTCACGGCTGTCTCCTCACGTAGAAGCACACACTGAGCTTAATGATCCAAAGTGAAGTTGGAGAGAGTATAACTTAGTCTGCAGACGACACCTATATAGCCCATGCTCTTGGTTTAAAAGGGAAGTTTCACAACGACCGTTTATGTGCGTTGCACAGATGGCTGAACTGGATCATTCCTGTCCGCTCCATGAGGGTGGGGCCATGTCTGTCTTGTTCACTGTGTCTACTGCTCCCTGTGGCACCGGGTACCTGGGAAACATTTGTCCTCAACAAATGTTGGTTGAAATAAATTTCTAACTCAAGGTTACAAGTCATTCTGGAGTTATCAGCTACCTGACATCAATCCTCCTCAAATAAACCATTAAGTTGCTGTATCTGCATTCCACTTCCAAATTGTAGACTAACCTCTGCCACACCTGTGTTGACGGGGACACACACATGTCAGCCGAATTCTGACAACTCCCTGTCTCCTTTCTAATCATTCCAATTCATATATTGTACGACTTGTGACTGCTGTGTCGTATTCATCTGATTTCACCAGTTAAAAGTATGATGGCTATACAATTTATTGTCCCTGGAAGAATACTTTTGAGAGTGAAAAGAAGTACTATTAATAATTCCACTGGGACAACAGGCATAAAATGGGGCAAAAGGGGATGTATGTATAGTCATGCTAATTTCAAGTAATATGATAAAGAATCTCTGCTTAACCAAAATGAATTTCACCTATAATTGAAATTAATTATAGATGGGGCTAAAACAAGTAAGACTAGAGGAACTTTGAGGAAAAGTCAAAAGTGATAAAGGCATAGTCGTAACCCTGTTCTACTTCGGGTTATACCGTCAGAGGCGCAAATGCTAAAAGGCAGGAAGACTGGCAGAGTCCAAGCACACCTCTGCTTAGAGATAAAACAATCTGCACTGACTGGAAATATAAAATGTTTGTTGGAAAATTCAGTCACCAGCTTTACTCCCATATAACTTTATACTTTTCTCAGTAACCAGGCAAGATTCCTGAGCAAGACTCTTTTAGCCAGAAATTTCCCTGTACAGTTCCCTCACTGAAATCAAATTAACAGGAAGATAAAAAGCCGGGAGGACAGGCCTCAACGTTGTTAGTGACTATACAAAACCCGAGCAGAAAAACATTTTCCAAAATGCACCACTGTTTACACTCAGTGGGCCTGGGGGTATATATCTCTTACCTTAGGGGAATAAATTCTACTAAAATCATTATACCTCAAATTTTATTTTATTTTTTTCTTTCAA